GTGGGAGGAAACTTGTTCGGAAGCCGGTTGACACGAGCGTGGCGGTGATTGGCTGGCTCTGAAGTATCTGGCAAAAACTTTGGAAGCAGCAGATACATAACACTTGTATCAGCAGCAGGAGATACTTAACAAAGGTACACCCACTTTCGTGGACATGCGTCTTACACAATTGTTGATTGTATTATTGCTTTTCATCAAACATAGGTACAATTAATATTGCGTTGCCACGCAGGCAGGTACAAAACCATCAAAACTGCATATAGGGGTATTGAGGTGCATTTGGAACCTCAAACTTGGGTAGATAATACGGTGATTGAAATGGGAGCAGCACCTTGAGAGGGTTGCCACATGGAGGCGGGCCTAGCCAGGCACTTGCATTGATGAAGTTGTAACTGATGAATGGAGCAGCTTCGTTGTCATTAAGCTGGTGGCTCCATGGGACCCAAGCTGTAGTATTCATCCCAGGACCCCAGCAGGCAAACTGGAGATTGACAGAATTATTGGAGCCTGAGTTATCACAAAATAATAAGCAGGACTCTTGGAGAAACAGCTTACCTCGGCGAAGTATGATGTCAGCTGGCGTTCAGGATCACCCCAGTCATACCAGCCTCCAGTGGAGATGACATCGTCAACGAACGAGTACGAAATCACCACCCTGCTGTAGTTCCCCCATGCCCTTCCTAGAAACAGCTGTGGCACGTATAAGAACGCAGAACAACAATCTAGACTTATGGCCCACCAGCAAGATGAAAGCCCTACCTTCTCATTTGCAGTGATGTTTGATCGCATTAACAGGAAACCAGTTTCTTCTGATGAATTGCAGCGCTGTTGTGCAGCAACTGCGCCTCCATACCCAGAAGGCTTCCCGTAGAACGCACAGCTCTGCATGAATAACTTGTCAGTGGCACGCCCACAGAGCATTGCGAGAGTTCTCGAGAAACGAACCTCATAGATAGACTTTCCGTTGCCAAAGATGAAGTCAACATTCCCTTCGAAGTAGCAGTTTCGAAAGTAGTGAGTTCCCTGAAATGGTTGCCAGTCAATACGCTTTCAGCAAGGACCGATGATTCCAGAAATTCTTACCCTGTGATCATAGAGCGTGTCTTGCCAGCCAACAAATCGGCAGTTGTAAAACGCGGCATAGTTTCCTGATATTCGCAGTGCAACGGCCATGCCCGCGGGATACGTTTCGTTTTGAAACGGCGGTGGGAGCTTTGCTGAATTCTGGAGATTTCCATGCCTGTCAGAATCATTTCCATAGGTGGGCATCGTTTGCCTATTCAATAACAGTACCTGAAACGTGATGTTGTTTGCAACGAAGAAGTCTGCATAGACACAGACAGAGCAGGTGCTGTAGGTCCCTAAGGGAGTACCATCAGCATTTAGCTTCCCAGCCCAATCGTTGTACGATATAATTGTGTTCTCCGCATCTGTTCCTTGCAGCATAATGCTCGTCGTCTTATTCCGGGGTATGACGACCTTTTCCCTGTTTGCATGTTAGGGGTTAGTCGCCTATTTGAAACAAAGGTGCTCTCTGCGGAGCTCTCAAATCTTACCTGTAGAACCCTGGAAGAATCAAAACGACGACTCTGTCTTGGCCCAGAGTCATCGCCATGTCCACAGCATCTTGCACCGACGTGAAATTACCGCGCTCAGGATCCGAAGATACAACGATGGACGGCAGGGGATAGTCGCCCCAGACAAGCTTAGGCTCCCTCGCCATCGCGAAGCTGCGAAGTACCTGGTCTTCAGTTTCCCAGCCACGAATTTGGCTCACACTCAATGTCCTTCTCGTGGCATGTCGCTGTTGTGTCAGTGCTGGTGGGTAAACTCGTCCTCGTGCCATTTTCGGAACGATGGGAGAGGCCTCAACGGCCCGGAGGTATGACATTGAGAATGCCAAACCTGGAAACAAGCGCATTGTCAGTCATTGAAGCACGCCTTTCGACTTCCACAAAGTCCTTCCACAGAAACTTACTTAGAACGAATAAGATGGCCACGACTAGGCCATTTTGAAGCCCTTGCGGATTCAACGCAGCCATCGGAAAATGCTTTGAGTGAAGACTGCTCGCGGGAGCATGAATAAGAATCTGGTCACGTGGTGGTTTTGAAGGAGCTGGTCAGCAGTAGATCGCGCGCAAATCGAGGTTGCAAATTTTCCATCTACGTCCGCGGTTTGAAGCACCTCTCGAGATTTGTTTCCCTGCTTTGGTCTCTCTGCTGGTTCGATTGTGTTTGGTTTGGCTAATACGCTGACAGCGATTTTGAACCGTAGATCAACATTGTCAGAAGCGGATTCAGCGCTACCCAATACGATTTCTCCGTTCAAATATCGATACAAGAGCACTGCGACCGTAGAACTCTCGATACAAGCCATTCATTCCATCTCAACATCACAACCATCTTTTTCCCCTCCCTATCCCAAGTTCCAGAATTCTGGAGGTCCATCTGTTAGCGCTGCTGATGAAGAATCCATTGTGTTCAACAGCTCTTCCTGCCAATTCCATCTACAACATGCGCACCACAACAGACCTATGCTTTGCTGAGCACCAATATATCTTACGCCTCCTGTTAGCAAACACGCCGGATACCTGCTGACTGTGTTCTGCATTCTGCGAAGACGGCATGGCTGTCGAATTGCGGCCATGCCTGGTGTCTGGCCTTCCATGGCTGTCACACAGACAGCAGCCTATACAGTCCACGCGCGTGATTCTTGCGCTTCTTCTTTGTGCCTCGATCGCGCGACTAATGCAAGCTATGGATTCGCCTGCATTGGAAAATCTGCCTGTAGATTCGAAAATAAAGGATCCGCAAAGAGTCAGCAGCGATCATGGATATCTGTCTAGTCATCCGCCTTCGACAGTGAATCATCTCATGCTAGATGATCACGCTTCGAGCGACGCAGCTCTAGTCCATAATCTTGCTCGATCGCGTCCAATGCACGAGGATCTCGCCACTTCCACCGCCAGAATGTCCAGTCCTGCCTTCCATACACCATTCCCCTCTGACCTTCCACCGAAACCCCCAGCCCTCTCAACGACGCGTCGAATACTCAAGTCCGCAGCTACGAATCCTCCAGTAGAATCCAATTCGTCCTCCCTATTTCCAGCATCTGTTGCTCTGTCTGGAAGCGGTCTTCACCACGCCACTGCCGGCGCACAAGGCTGCTTCCTCGCCATCCTCCTTGACGCTAGCGGAACACCCTCCGGTGCTGGTGCAAGCTTTCGGGCACAAAAACGGCGCCTGACATGGCGCGTCCAGTTGTCTCTACTGCACGCTCCCCCACCGCCTTCCCCTCCGCCTCCTTCTCCCCCTCCCCCGTCTCCGCCTCCGCCAAGCCCACCTGCGCCCCCTCCTCCAGCGCCACCATCCCCAGAAGCCAAGAAAGAGGGAAGGCGGCGGTTGCATGAGGAATTCAAGCCAAGAGATGGTACAGGTGCAGCAGTTGATGGCGATGCTGGTGCTGATGGTGATGCTGATGGGGATGCTGTGGCTGATGCGGCTTCATACGCTGGAGAAACCGTTCTAGTTGTTGGGGGCGCTGAGAGCATTCAGGGTCGGGAGTATATAGGGGAGCGGCGGAGGTTGCGTGCCAAGAGTAAAGACAAGGGTAAGAGCAAGAGTCAGAAGACAGAGGGCAAAGTGAAGGGCGGCTCAGGGAATGCAGAGAAAGAAAAGGCTGCCGAGGCTGTGAAAGGGACAGAGGAATCTGGAACCGATTCGACTCTGTCAGGCAAAGTAAAGGAGAGGGGAGAAGCAGAGGACAGAGAAGAGGGGAGAACGACGAGTGAGCGAGGCGTGGGAAACCGGAAATGGGTGAAAGCAGGCGAGATGAGGGACGACTGGCTGGTATCAGGGGGTCGAATGCAGTACGACCCGAAAGGAGGCTTCTATGTGGGTTGTTACGTTGCTCCTCTGCCTGGAGTGTACTCCCTCACTCTCTCCCTCACACTCATGCCTCCTACCGAGCCACAGGCTCTCCATGCAGCACAAGCAACACCAACTGGGAGACAACAAGCAGCAGCAGGAGCAGCAGGAGCAACAGGAGAGGAAGGTGGGGAGGCAGCGGAAGCTCCAGTGTTGGTACACGTGGCGAGATATCACGTGACAGTGGTGCCAAGGGCGGGGCAGCCAGGGAGTGCTGTTGAAGGGGATGGCTCGCGGAATGAAGGGAATGCAGTGGGAGCAGGCAGCAGGTGGTGTGACAGTGAAGCAGTTGCTCGGGGGCATGGCAGATATACGAGCTGGCATGGTGCGTTCATGTGGTTCTGGTTGCGTGAATGGACACGGTGTGATCTGGAGTGACCAAATGAAGGAGGAGGAGGAGGAATGCGAAGGGTGCCATGCTAAGGGGTTTGTGTTTCTGCCTGGATCATGGGGGGTATTTTTTTTGCTGTGATTTCCACCTTCATTTTTGTGAATCTCAACCATTTTCGGGTCTTCCCCACAAACTATAGCAACTGGGCGCATGAGTTGCTGTGCCTCGTGCCTTTCTCCACACAAACCCCAACCTCACACTCACCTCCTTGTTGCCCCATTCTACCTTTTCCTGTACCCACCCTCCTTTCCCCCGATCACCAGGCAGCAGCATCACCCTATCCACATGCCGCATATACCCCTGGTCGCCCCACCATGCGTTCGTCCCTCTAGCCGGCCACTCTCTTGCAGTCTTTGGCGACTCCAACTTGCGTGCCTGGGCGGCATATTTTGTCACCTTTCTCTCGGGTGGGGCATACAATATCACGCACCCTGCGGACCATCGCCCGCTACAGGCAGCATATGAGCTCACCTGGGCTCAAAGCGCTAATACCGGCTGGCCTGGGCAGGGAAGGACAAAAGATTCTGAGCTGCCCGTGGGGCTGCGGTTTGGGCGACGGGCGAGGATGCGGGCAGAAAGAACAGATGGTTGGCGGAGCTTTGGGCGGGTGAGGGTTGAGAATGCATGCTTGAACCAATCAGGGGTGGACATGTGGCTATTCCCCCGCGCCACTGATAAGCAGATGAGCTTTTCCGAAATACTTGGGGAAGAGGCGGTGAGCAGTAGTGGGGCAGCAGTAAGGCTTGGAGCGTCAGAGGGCAGGAGAAGCCTCTTACAAGCAGACTCTGCAGCAAGAAATTCCACAGCAACGTCAAGTTCCCTGGTTGATTCAGTGCCCTCAAATGCATTAGCTGAAGCTAAAAGAATGACAATAGGCAGTGGTACGGGAGATGAGAGCGAGAGTGCACAGAGCAGGCGGGCGCTGTGGCTTGTGAAGGAAAGAAACGGCAAAGGCAACAGCAACGTTGCGTCTACGAGCAAGCACAGGCCCTCTGGCACCACTCCATGGCTACCTCCCCACCGCCGCTTCTGGCGTGTGGTTGCTGGGGTGACGATGAAAGATTTAGCGGAGTATGAGACTGCAAGCGTGTATGCTTTGGCTCTGCAGCAGCATGTGGTGCCGTCTCTGCTGCAGCTGGTAAGACAGGCAGCAGACGTGGTGTGGGTGGGAGGCTGGGCAGTTCAGGCAGTGAGTAGGCAGCAAGGGCAGGGGGCAGATGAAGGAGACGGAGAAGGGAGAGAGGAGCAAGCAGGTGGAAGCCGGTGGGGGTCGGAGGAGCAGGAACAGCTACAGCAGCAACAGCGGTGGTGCACGGACGGAAAGGAATTGCTGGTGAACGATGCAAGGGCACGGTTGTTTGATGCTGCTGCATACAAGGTCATGCGCATGCATGGTGTTCCATTCCTGGACCTGAGATCGCTCACTGAAACCCGCCCCTCTCTCTGCCCTGACGGCTGCCACTACCTCTGGCCCGTGCACCACGCCCTCTCTCTCCTGCTCCTCCACCTCTGGTCCCCATACGCTCCTCCCATGGCTCTCTCCTTCAGCAGCAGCAGCAGCAGCAGCGGCAGTGGAAGCGGCGCCAGTGCCAGCAGCAGCACTGGGGACAGCAGCAGCGCTAGCAGTTTTGGAAGTAGTGGTGGTGTGGTGAGGTTGCCGGTAGGGTGTGTGGACGCAGATGCACCATCCAATGTAACCAAAGAGGAGGTGGTGGTGGATAGAGATGAGGCGCTCAAGAAGGCAGAGATGGAGGGCGGTGGGGAGGTGGAGGCAGAGAAAGGAGGAGGAGGAGGAGGAGGAGGAGGAGGAGGAGGAGGAGGAGGAGGAGGAGGAGGAGGAGGAGGAGGAGGAGGAGGAGGAGGAGGAGGAGGAGGAGGAGGAGGAGGAGAAGGAAGGGGCGAAATCGCTGGCGGTAGTGGGGGGGCGAGTGCCGCACACGAAAGCACAGAGAAGGATGCGGAGGGAGGAGGGGCAGCAGGGAGTTCTGGAGAGGGAAAGCCGTGGCCAGATGTGGATGCTCTAGAGCAGTTGGACTTCGGCAGGTGGTTCCCTGGTCGCGGCACAATGCTGGAATCCACTAGCGCTCTTCAAAGGTGGGTGAACAAGGCTAGGCGGGCAGTGGAGGAAGGAGGAGGAGGAAAGGAGGGACCAGAAGAGGATGGGGAAACTTCGAAGTGGGGCTCAGTTGAGGAAGGAGATGGTGCAAAGGGTGGTGGTAAGGATGGCTATGGGGGAGGAAGTAGCAAGCAAGCTCACGGGAGATTCGGTGCAGCAACAGCTGCTGCAGCAGCAGTCCTATCACGCATTTCCATCACAGAAGTACCCCTGCCACTTCAACCCTTGGCGCCCTACCTCCTACACCTTCCTGGTAATGATTCCTCCTCTTCCTCCTCCTCCTCTTCCTCGTCCTCTTCCTCCTCTTCCTTGTCCCCTTCCTCTCCCCTCGCCTACTACCTCCCTTTCTCTCGCGCTGTCCATCTGGACCACCTGGTCGTGCGTCAGACCCTCGCTCGCTGCTTCGACATCCGCAACGACTGCCGCAACCTGCGAGCCTCCTCGCTCTCGCGCTACCACCGCGACTGCCTGCCCAAGGACGGAGTCATGACAGCAGTGGCTGCGGGTGTGATAGAGCGCTGCGAGAGCTGGTGCCCGGGGGAAACCATGTGCTGGAACAGCAACAGGAGAGCGGCGGCCGCGCTGTCGAAAGCAGCGCTGAAGGCGCCGGTTAAGCTGAGAAAGGAGGAGGTGCTTCTGGTGGAAGTGAAGGAGGCGTTTGTTACACCTGCTGGGGAGGTCTACGGGGTGGGGTGGAGGCCGCGAGGGGGCGGCGAGGGGAGCAGTGGTGCATCGAAGGGAGAAGATGATGAGAGTAATGAAGGTGAAGGTGCTGGTGGTGGTGATGGAGTAAGTGGGGAAGGGGGCGCGGGTGGGTTTGGGGGAGGCTTGGAGTTGGAAGACGGGATGCTAGCTCTTGACGTGCGATTAGGGCAGTGCCACCGCCCCATGGAGCTCCTGCGAGTGAGGACAGACTGGCGGTGGGGCGCTGAGCATGCAGCACGCACCGTCTTCGTGGCAGATGCGGAGGAGGATGGCGTTGTGGCAGCAGTCACTACATGCCTCGCTCGCATTGCCCTCTGTAGGGATCAGCTGCTGCAGGACCAGTCTATCAGGATCCACGTGCGGGGGCTGGAAGGAGGGGAGGGGGCGTACCCACACTACCTGCCGTCCATGCTCTCGTTTCTCTCGATCTCGCCTGGTCGACTGGTTGCTGGGGACCTCTATGCACACCGGATTTATCTCATGGACCCCCCCTGCCGTGCTCCCTTTCGAGCTTTGGATGGGGTTCTACTGCTCAACCTGAGGAGAGTTATACACGAGATGCTGAGAGGGCGAAGGGGGGAGGAGGGAAGCGTGAGTGCTGGTGGTGACGCTGCGATTGACAGCACGGGCGAGAGTGAGGACGGAGGTGCTGGAGCCAGTGAAAGTAGTGATAGTTTGGGAAGCAAGAGCAGCAAGAAGAAGGTGAATAAAAAGAAGAAAACGACAAAGGCGAAGAAGAAGAAGAGCTCAGGAAGCAGCAGGAGGAGGGTGCTTCGGGAGGTTGGAGCAGATGGAGAAGGGAAAGAGGCGGCTAAGAATGGCACCATTGTGGTAGTCCAAAACCACTGGTTCAGAAAGGTGAGCTCTCCATGATTGCTGCATGTCATTTTCCAAGTTCCAGCTGCACGGCTATTTGCACGTCGATCAATTTTCCACTGGAACGACCGTGCCGCATTATCCTCCCTGTTCTTTCTCCGATTCCACACTCTGAACTTGTCTTGTTTCCACAGGTACGAAATCTCGATGAGTTTGTTTCCTCTCTTCGGCAGCAAGTATCACTTCCTGTGGACGTGATCACAGATGACGGCAGGCACAACGTCTCCGACCTCTGGCCGCGGTTCTACCAGGCAGCTCTTGTCATCTCCCCGCACTCGGACGTCCTTGCACATATCGTGGCGTGCCGGCAAGGAACGCCGGTGTTGGAGTGGATGCAGCCATGGCGTGCTGAAGACCCTGCTAGCGCCAGCCCGCGGTTTCAGACACTGGCTACAGGCCTTGGCCTCCCGTATTATGTTTCGGTGGTTGACTTCCAAGACCCGTTCGACGACCCGGATACAGCAGAAAAGACAAAATCAGACGAGGAGAGCGAGGGGAAAGCGACGGGCATGGACTATATAGGGGGGTCGTATGTTGAGGTGAATGTTCGGCAGCAGGTTCGAAACGTGCTAAGGATTTTGGAGGATGTGGATGCAGGAGAGGGGTGGAAGGAAAAGTGTCAGTTGGTGGAGTACCAAACCAGCTGACATTGGTGTGAGCTTGAGACTAGAAACACATTTTCTCAACTAAGATCTGTTTTGAAAAAAAAACAAAATAAAGAGTGCACGAATACCGTACCCTCCAACCAGGTGGCGTCTCTCCAAACCTTTATTATTAATTCAATATATATGATTAGTATAGTTTTTATCCGTTAACAGAAGATTTCAGCAGTCGTGTACTTGCACGCGCTCTGCAGTTGCCCGCCCGGAACGCACATGAGTGGCAGGCTCAGCAGGGAGCGCGGTCCCTCCAAACCTGGCGGGGTGTCAGACTCTCAGATTCAAACGCGGTCTGGTGTAGGACTCTTCTGAAACCACTGGATGTTGGCGATGTGATGAGGCCATTCTCTCCCCTCCCTCCAACACGAATTCCACCCACCTGCATCCTCCACAAAAAGGGTCTGGCTCTCGCTCTGTAAGTGACTGTTTTACGTTGTTTTGGTGACTGGCTCCCTGTCAATTAGTGCTGGTGCAGTTTCTGTGTCCACGTTCGCGTACTCCCGTACATCGAGTTTTAGGTTTCTTAGGTTCGCTCCTCCTTTCAGCCATGAATTCTCTAGGCGGTGATTTCCCAGCAGCGTCCCTGAAGAACGCGAAGACCCAGTCGCAACCAGTCGACCACCATTCTGTGTTGAAGAGGTGCGAAACGAAGCTCGATGCAATCCACCGTTTGGCTCATTCGGTGAATTTAGCGTCTAATTGTATCGTCTCTGCTGGTTCCTGATCTTGAGCAGGTTGCAATCAGAGTTGATGAAGCTCATGGTGCGTGTCAAATTCCACGTTCTTTATCGCAATTGCAAGTATTGCAAGCAATCCACTAACTTCTTACGTTCGTAAATGTACAGACATCTAGTGATCCCGGAGTTTCTGCCTTTCCGGAAGGCGACAACATCTTCTCTTGGGTTGGTACAATCCAGGGCTCTGCCGGAACCGTGTACGAAGGCTTGACATACAAACTCAGCCTGAAATTCCCTTCCGACTACCCGTTTAAGCCTCCGACTGTCAAGTTCGAGACGTACTGCTTTCACCCGAACGTGGACCAGTTCGGTAACATCTGCCTTGACATTTTGAAGGTTGGTCGCAGTACTGATCAGAAAGGAAAAGTACTTCTTTCCCGCTTCGAAATTGATGACTCAATCCGTACAATATCGTCCTGTTGACGTTTCAGGACAAGTGGTCATCCGCTTACGACGTGAGAACCATTCTCCTCTCCATCCAGAGCCTTCTTGGAGGTGAGAAATGTTATCCTTCGCTGACGACGTCAAGCAGCTTTCGTCTGGGCTTGATTTCTCATTTTGCCACTTTTGACTACCTTTGGATGCAGAACCCAACAATGATAGCCCACTGAACGGACATGCCGCGGCGCTCTGGCCGCATCAACAAGGTAAGCTTGAATAAAAGTTCAAGGGCAACTATGCCGACACCTTAAATTAGTTTCTAATGGGTGCGGTGTCTGATGGCAGAGTACCGAGAAATTTTACATAAGAAGCAGAAGGATGCGGATCTGAAAGGGACTGCTTGATTTCCAGCGTTTACTGGTGGAGATAGACAGGCGGTAACGCCATTTATTCATTCAAGAGCTCAAGAGTACCAACCAAAAAGAGCAACATATATATATATTGGCGATGACATCAACATCATCAGCCTGATACAGCCTTGAATCACTGTTGCTGACTGCTGCAGCTGGAGGCACTATGTTTAATTTTATATTAACGAAAGATGCATCATCTCACCATTGGTACTGGTCCTTCGCCAGATACTTACCATACTCCAGCCTGCCACTCTGACCTTCTGAAGTAGAGGCAACCTCAAGTTAACAATATTCTCAGCTACAATATAAACAAGCTAACAGAGGTATTGACGAGACGAAGCAGCACACACAAGTATAAAAAGTAATTTCGACCAAGCATGCTATGCAGGTACCTAACTAATAATTTCATATGCAGAGAAAAACACACCACCTGAAATAGTTGAGGCAAGATGCAGAAGCGGAATCTGACATGCGCCAAGAGCTAAGCACCATATGCTCGTGGACCTAGCTCTGCCACCCCTCGTATGCTGCACCTCTGCCAGAAAACACTGCCAAAGCATCATCACTGCTATCAACCAATGAAGCATGACCAGCACCATGGCCAATTACATGGTCATTTCGACAACCAGGCCCAGTCGTCGTTTCATGGTCTGCCCAGGCTACTTCTCTTTCATGATGGGCGCGGCGAGGAGTCACATAAATAGGTAATCCAGCAGCGGCTGCAGCTGCCGCTGCTGCTGCAGCATAGTGAGATGGTGGCTCCTGTGAGGGAGGCAGAGAAGCAGGGCAGGAACTAGGGCCAAAGTGACTTGGGCTTGGAAGGACAGCCGCTGATGAGTCCAGGGAAGAAGATTGAGGGAAGGAGAGACTGGCGGTTAAGGCATGCACAGAATCTTGCTCAGGCTGTGCGGAGTGGAAGGATGGCAATTTCAGTGGCTGTGGCCGTACGTGGCGGTGAGGGAAGCGCTGGGTGGCAGATACGGGAGGAGGGAGGAGGGAGCCAATTTGAGGAGGGAGGCTGTGTGGTGCTGTGTCCTGCTGCTGCCACTGTTGCTGCTGCTCCCAAGGATAACTAGAAAGGTCCTGCTGCTGACGATTGTGAATCTGCTGGTAGCGATCCCCCTCCTGTGGTTGCTGGCGGAGGTGAGAATGGCAGGGCGGATCATCGCTGTACAGGTCCTCCTCCTCCTCCTTGCGCTCACTGAGCTCAGCAAAATATGACAATGATTGCTTGCCTGGCCGCCGAATCATCCGAGGAGGTGGGGGCGTGTGGGGTCGGTAGACACGAGCTCCAGAGCCAGCAGCAGCATCATGGCCAGAGCGGGATGATAACGGCGGCCGCTCTAGCCGTATGGGCTGCCATGTGTCTCTTGTGTGTGGAGGCTGCTGCTCGCCATACACAGCTGCTGCACTCTCCTCTTGGAAATTCTTGTTCTTCTCCCCCTCCTGCACTTTCACCTTCTCTTCCCCGTCCCTCTCTCCCTCTTCCTCTTCCTCTTCTCCTTCCTCTTCCTCTCCTCCACTCATGTCATCTCCATCACCCACCACTTCTTCCTCATCTCCAAGATTAACATCTTCATCTTCCGCCTCTGACCACTCTTCGTCCTCCTCTTCCTCCACATCCTCCTCACTGGACCAATCCTGCTCACTCCCCTCCTCATCTCTCCACCCCCTACCTCTAAACTCCCTTTCACCTCCATCCCTCCCTCCAAACCTTACACCAAACCACACAACACCTCTCTGCACCCTTTCCACCTCTCCATGTTCCTGTTCCACCACTCCATGTCCCTTTCCCACTCCTTCATGCCCCTTTTCCACCTCTTCCTTGTGCTCGTGCCTCACACCAGATCCCATCACCACCACTTCCATCTGCCCAGGCAGCAACCCCTTGTACTGCTGCTGCTGCTGCTGCAAACGCCATCGCTGCAAGCCCGGATGCTCCCTGTCAACGGCAGCAGCAGCCGAAGCAACAGCAGCAGCTGTAGCAGCAGTAGCAGTAACCTCCAAAAACCTTGTTTCACTCTCAAATACCTGCCGCTGCTCATCCCAGAACTCACACCCATGCTGCTCCTGCTCACTTGCACCAAGCATATCCACATCAACCCTACCACTCCTGTTCCTACCCAAGGCGGCGGCGTCTCTCTCTTCTTCACCCCTCTCCTCGCGCCTTTTCCTGCCACGCCCGTACCACAGCCTGCTGCCCTTGCTCATCCTGCCCTCGTGCCCCCTCTTTCTCTGGTCGCCTTTCGCTGTGTCTCGCTCTCGCTCACCCACTACCATCCCTCCTTCATCACTCTCCACAGCCCCCCGCTTTTCATTGGTTCTGATCCTCCCCTTGTGTTTTCTCCCGTAGCCTACCTTCCCTTTGCCAGTTTCACCAGCACTGGTATCTCCACGCGTCAAGTCCCAGCGCTTCAACAGAGCGACCTTGGCAGATGGAGCTGCTTCTGAAGAAACATCCCCCATTTTCAGTTCGGCCTGTTTGCTCTTCCTCATCTCCTTCTCAACTTCAGCCCCACCTCGTTTCCCCTTACCCCTGCTCCGGCCCTTACGTCCTTCCTGCACATGGGCTGCTTTGTCACTCAAAACACCATCACCAGCTGCAGCAGCAGAAGCAGCAGTAGCAGCAGAAGCAGCAGAAGCAGCAGCAGCCCTAGCAGAGCAAGCAGCAGGCGCAGCAGCAGAAGCAGGAAGCATGAGCTCTTGAGAAGAAGCGTGAATGTGGGAGAGCGCATCAGGAGCATGGCAAGCACCACTGGCTGTGATTGCAGCCGATTCCAAGCTGCTGCTGCCGCTGCTGCCGATCGCCTGTGCATGCTGCCGCGGCACAGAGTCATCAAAGTACAGCAGGGGAGAGTGCGGTGGAGAGTGGTGCTGACGCCTTGAGAAACGGGCAGAGGGCTGCTGAGGAGAGTATATGGGTGAGTAGTACTGTGGAGGAGGGGTGGGGTGCTGGTGTTGTAGCATCTGCTGCTGCTGCTGATGCAACTGACTGTGGTAAGGCGAGTCTTGAGAAGAAGATGCACATGAGAGGTGCGAACGGTGAGCTTGCTGCTGTTGGTGATGTTGGTGCTGCTGAGGCTGGTGGTGAGGCGACAGGTTTGCTGAAGAAGAAGCAGCGGACGCAGTGGGATCAAACGAACTCCACAGCGGCAGCTCCCCACATCCCACTGCTGCCACGGCTCCTCCCCCTTCAGGTGCTCCTCCTCTTCCTCCTCCTCCACCACCACCACCTCCTCCTCCTCCTCCTCCCCGGCCTGGGACCGTTTCTGCTGCAATTTCTCCTGACCATCCTCCCACTCCCATCCCCACACCATCTTCACCAGCAACTACTTTCGATGTTGCCCCCACCGCCGCTGCCCCAACTGGCGCCGCCACCGCCACCGCCGCTGCTGCTGCAACAGTTGCAGGCCCCACCGCTACAGCCTCAACCACACTCGATTCAGAGTCACTCACGTTGCCGCCCCACTCCCTCTCTTGCCCTCCCCAACCCTTCCCACGCCATCCTCCTCCCTCTCGTCCATCCACTTCCATCCCTGCCCATGGCCTTTCCTCCACCACCACCACCTCCCGACTCCCCATACTCGTTATAGCGCTATCCCCATGCACCGGTGCTGCTGCTGCCAAAGCTGCTGCACCTGTGGCGCGGCCTGGAACAGCCATGGCAAGGGGAACGGGTGAGTCGGGGCTGGGAGCAGCAGCAGCAGCAGCAGCAGCAGGAGCGTCAGCAGAAAAAAATCGAGGAACAAGAGCGGAGGAGGCGTGAGCGAGAGCAGGAAGGTGGTAAGGGGGAGGAGGAGGGAAGCGGTGAGGAGCGTGGGAGGTGCTGCTGCTGTCCTGATAGTTGCTGCTGTCCGGTTTGTGGCTAGCTTGAGCGTACTTGCTGTGTGAGGCAGAGGATTCAGAGCTTCCAACAAACATGATGCCACCCCTTGGCCTACCCGCCCACATCCCACCCCGCTGCTGCCCTCCTTCCGACTCCCCCACCCCTCCTTCCTTCTGCTGCCCCCCCTCCTCCCCCTGCCGGTGTCCCTGTTGCCCTTGCTCCCCCTGCTCCCCCTGCTGCCCCTGCTGCCCTTGCCTTTGCTCCCCTCGCTTTCGCTCTACCCCATGCTCACGTTGCTGGTACCACTGAGCCCGTACCTGTACCTTCTCCCATAAATCCTCATCCTCATCCCCATCCTCATCCTCCTCCTCATCCTCCTCCTCCTCCCCTCCACTACCACTGCCCCTTTCCTCGAGAGTACCCAGCCGGCCCCGCTCCTCTCTCTCCACAGCCTCTAGCCATCCCATCACCAGCCAATTCCTGCCTGCCACCTGTACAGCGCGCCACAGCTGCAGGTCCACCACTTGCGCGTGCAGAGGTGGAGCGTCGGGGGCGGCGGAGGAGGAAGAGGCAGAGCCGGTGAGAGGAGTGGGCTGGGACGAGTGAGGGAGAGAGTGTGGGCCGAACGATGATAGGGATGTGAAACGGAACCTGAGGGATGAGTCGGGAAGGGGAAATGGGGGAGTGGGGAGGGGAAGTGTGTGTGATGTCGAGCAGGAGGGCAGGAGAGGAGGGAGAGCAGCAGGGGAGGCAGGGGAGGCAGGGCAGGATAAGACGAGGAGAGCCGATTTGTTAGGCGCCTCAAAGATAGTACAATCACAAAAGCAGAGTCGAAGGGCAAAGTATGAGACCTTTAGAGTTTCGGAATGGAGTTTCGGAGGCATGCGGTGTGCGCATGGCAATGGCAACAGCAATGAGAATGACGATGATGACAATAGCGACGAAACACACACACACACCTACCCACCCGCTCACCCGCTAACCCACTCCCACCCACCCACCCACCCACTCTCCCACCCGCACGCGCACCTGCATGCGCACAAACACACACCCACCTATCCTCCCCTCCCCCCCCCCCCCACACTGACACCGTTCAAACAAGCGCCCACCTGATCTTGACGGACTCGGCTCGTTCCAGAGCCTCCGTGGCCATGTGCCAGTCCAGAGGCCGCATCCGCCCCCCACTCAGCTCCCACACTCGCCTCCCCTCCAGCTGCACCTCCCTCTCCCTCTCCCTTGTTCTCTCGCTCCCCCTCTCCCTCCCCAATGCCCCTTCAACGCCGCTCACCCCCCTAGCTTCACCTCTCCTCGTGACCCCAGCCACAGTATCGTGAACAAGACCACCATCACCAGCAACAGCTGCAAAAGGAGCAGAAGCAGCAGCGCTTTTCAACACAGCAGCAGCAGCAGCAGAGAGAGGGAATGCGTGTGCGACGGCAGCAGGGCTAGCCGCAACAATGAGGCCAGACTCTGCTTCGAGCAGCAGCGCAGCTCGGCCCGACGGCGCTTGAGCCACGCTCAGGAACGCTGCTGCTCCTGCTGATGCTGCATGCACGGACGCCAGCTCAGCAGACAGCCACGGAGGGGGTGAGCTCGCACTCATGCCGCCGCTGCCGCCGCCGCCGCTGCTGTTAGTGTTGCTGCTACTGCTGCTGCCGCGGTTGCTCATGCCTGTGCCCACGCTGCTGTCGCTGGGTCGGAGCTCACGCGGCTGTTTCGCCCTGCTGCTGCTAGGAAGAAGCGCGTCAAAGGAGGTTGCTTCTACAGCAAATGCAGGGGCAGCACCACGAGAGGTCCCGGCAGGAATCCCATACTCCTCATCATAAATACCATTATCCACAGCAGCAGCAGGAGAAGCAGCAGGAGAATCAGCAGGAGAAGCGGCGGCAAAGCCAGCGCCTCTGCCAATGAGAGCGCTCATGAGCGGATTGCACCCGGGCTGAAAGCCCCTTGACACGCCCACCACACTACCGTCACTGTTGCGCCTCACTCGCCCCCCACCACCCCCAACTCCTCCCACCCCCCCATGCAGCCCCCCCATCATACCCTGAAGCCCCTCAAAACGGCCCCGCTCCCCATGCCCCGCGCCCTCCCCGCGCCCCCCGCGCTCCCCCTGCGCGTGGCCCTGCAAGCCGCCCATATGCACGAGCCTGTGCCGGTGCTTGTATCGCTCTGTGTGGTCGTCAGGGTGGGACTGGGACTTGGGGAAGAGCGAGGGGGGGAAGGGCGGAGCCGAGGGGCGTTCTGGACCGGGCATGGAGTGGCTTTTGAAGCGGTTGCGGTGGGCTACCAGGTGCGCGGATGCAGGGAGTGGTGGGCGGGGGCGCGCTGCTAGTGATTGCGGCGTTGCTGCTGATGATAATGATGATGACGGTGAGAACGATGCTCGGTGCGAGTGGCCTGGGGTGGTTACCAGAGCAGCTGGTGGAGGGAGGGAGGGAAAGGACGGAGAGAGGGAGGGAGGGAGGGAGGGAGGGAGGGAGGGAGGGAGGGAGGGAGGGAGGAACGGCGGGAGAGGAAACGAGGCCATAACAGTGAGTGATGGCATTGAGGATGCAGGCAGGCTTGTTCTTAATGCTGAGTACTGCATGGGATTGGCCAATGCTAGATGCATGCAATCGCAAGCAGCAACGAATAGGACAACAGGAAAAACAACCAGTAAGCTTATTAAAATCCTAAGAGAACAGAGTAGAGAGAAGAGGTGAATGCGGAGGACAATTGAAAGAGAACAAAAGCAAAAAGTATTGTGGGCTGGGATGGGTGAAATCTCAGAAACTACTCTCACCAACAGCAGTAAGATCCCAGGAACCACCACCGTAAGAGCCACGGTGGTATGCGACAGCAGGCTCGGGAGTGGTACCAACCCCACTTCCTCCTCCTCCTCCTCCTCCTCCTCCTCCTCCTCCTGCAGAACCTACGATACTGGGAGTACCAGCAACAGGGTTAGCAGCAGCAGCAGCAGGGGCGGAGGAAATGCCAGGAAGGAGCAGCAAGGCGGAGTCAGCCGAGCCAGGTGGGAAGCGAGGCACAGGCGAGGCAGCAGCAGCAGCAGCAGCAGCAGCAGCAGCAGCATCAGAGAAAGGCTCCTGAATGCTACCCCAGGGGTCGGGCGAGAAGAGCGGCGAGTGCATGGCAGGACGCGCTGCCGCCGCCGCAGCAGCCGCCGCTGATGATGACGACGATGATAATGCGGCGCCGCTGATAAACGCCTTCCACCCTCCCTGCCGCTCTCTGCCTGCCCCAAAGTCCGTGTGGCTTCTGGAGAAGAGGCGAGGGGGAGGGGACGGCGCCCTCCGCGCTCTCGCCCGTGCGTCAACCACGCTTTCCGCCACCGCACCCAGTCCGGTCCCGCTGCTGGCCCCTTCTCCTCCTCCTCCTCTTTTACCTCCTGTTACGCCGCCTACTCCTGCTCCTGCTCCTGCTCCTGCTCCTGCTTCTCCTCCTCCTGATGCTGCTGCTGTTGCTGCTCCTGGGGCTGCTCGCCTGCGGGGTTTCAGCGGGCCTGACTTGCTCTTCCTCCTGCCCATGCCATAGTTCCAAAACGCGTTCCTGCTCGCCTTATCGCCAACACTAGCACCACCACCATCACCACCACCATCAGCAGCACCAACACGGATACCACTGCCATACTGCCCGCCCCCGCCCCCTCCTCCTCCGCCGCTGATTCTCATCTCTTCCAGATAGCCACTTCCCCCCACGCCCACCTCCCCCGCTTCCGCCAATCCTCCCCCCATTTCGCGCACATGCTGGCGCCCCTCGCCCGCCAGGGAAGGGGGCGCAGCGGGAGGGGCAGCGCTCAGATCCCCACCCTCGCGTGAAACTTCCCCAGCGCCTGCTCCTCCTCCTCCGCCCGCGCCTGCGCCGCCAGCCTGCGCCTTGCGCGGGCGCAGCGGCCCCGACTTGCTCTTGCGCCTGCCCAGCCCGTGGGTCCATAGGCTAGCCGTGGCCGTCGCTGGCGCGGGCAGTGTCGGGGAGGGTAGAAGCGGAATAGAGAACCCGCCTGCGCTTACTCCGCCATCTGCGCTTGCTCCGCCTCCGCCTTTCCCAGCGTCGCCTCCGCCATCTCCTTCCCGCTCTCCTCCTCTCTCGCTCAAAGAACCATCCACGGACGCGTCTGTCGCGCCGTTTCCTCCGTCCCCCATTCCCACCACCAACGCCGCTGCTCCCGCTGGTGGCGGCGCCACCGGCGGCGCAATCCCCGCGTCGGCATTGACCTCGCTCTGCTTAAACAGGGGATTCTCGAATCCTTCCACCGCATCGCCGCCATTGCTCCCGCCAGCATTCCGCAGCTTCGGAACGGCCGGCGCCTCCGCCGCGCGCGGCGGAATGCGCGGCTCATGCGCGCGCGCATCCAGGTCCAAGCTGCGGAGGAGGAGGCTCCGCGGAGGAGGAGACGCGCCACTAAGCTCTCCCCTGCTCCCCGCCGCGCGCGCGGCTGCTACGGCGGCTAAAGCCGCAGCTTGCCCCTTGCGCAGCCGCACCGGACCCGACTTGCTCTTCCGCTTCCCCATGCCGGAGGTCCAGCGCGCCGCTCCGCCCAGCAGCGGACTCCCTGGCGCACCCGCCTCTGCGCCTGCGCCGTCCGCCGCTCCCCGCGACGCAGCACCGGACGCCGCTGTCGGCGCAACCGGCGGGCGGCCCCCGAGGACCGCGTTGGCCGCCGCGCCTGCGCCGCCGGAAGCCCAGGCGGACTCTGACAGCGAAACGCTCTTTATCGCGCGCCTCGACGACCCTGCTGCCACTGGCGGAAGCGCGGACGTTGCGCCCGCCGTCGCGGGATTCCTCGGTCCCCCAGCGCCCGCCGCCGCTGCCGCTGCGGCCGCGTGCGGGAAGCGCTGATCGGTGAGAGACTTGCTCTTGAACATCCGCCGTCCCCCGCCAGCCGACCGCGCGGCGTTCCCCAGCGCCGCGACCGCCACTGCGCCGACCATTGCGCCAATCCGCCCGCCGCGCCCGCCGCGGCCGGCACGTTCTAGCCCCGCCTGTCCGCCGGCCAGGGGTGACTCAGGCAACGCGACCCTTCGCGCCTCGGCCTCTAGATCCCCCGTTGCTGCGAACGCGCTTCCGCTTCCGCTGCCGCTGCCGCTCCCCGCGGCGCTGCCAGAGCGGCTCGAACTGCCGTCCCGCCGCAAGTCACGCGGCCGAACATCCCTTCGCGACGCGCCAAGTGCACCTTCTTTCGCTCCAATACTAGTAGCTCCCCGAGGCGCGCCCGAGGACGATGTCGTCACTAGCCCTCTCTCGCTGTCCGAGTCGCTCCCTGAGTTAAATCCGCGCGCTCCGGCTGTTTTGGGAAGAGGAGACCACGCAGATGTGCTTGCAGCGGGAGTTGCGACGTCGCCGGGCGTCGCGACGTCGTCCTCGGGCCACTCGTGGATGCTCTTGGGAGTCTTGGACGACAGCGGCGGCGTCGCAGGGACTGTCGCAGAGCCTTTCGCAGACGACGGCAATCCTGACGAGAGAGCGGACCAGATCTTATTGAAACCTCCCGCGATTCCCTGCCGTCCCGTTCCTGACTGTGCTGCCTTTCCTGCCGCTCCTGCGACCGATCGCTGGTGGTTAAGCTTGGCTCCTTGTTGCTCCTGCTGTTCCTGCTGCGGCTGCTGCTGCAAGTGCGACTGTGGTTGCAACTGCTGCTGCTGCTCTTGAATTGGCTGCGACGGGTTGCGATGGGAGTTGTGCGACGGAAGCGACAACGACTTGCTGTGACGGCCGCTGGAGCTCTTGCGAAAGATGCGGTCGAAGTCTAGGTGCAGCGTCAATTCCGTCTCCATATCACTCTCCGCATTCGCCGCCGCTCCCGCGTCTCCTAACCCTGCGCCGCCACCCCCGTTGCCGCCGCCACTGGCGGCAGCAGAAGCAGAAGCGCTGCCGCCGGCGGCGCCCGCGGCAAAGACAGCGGCGACATTTGGGTCACTGTGCCGGCCGGCGGGGTGCCGCATATGCGGGGGATGCACGGAAGGGGAAGTGCCGGCGGCGGAAGCGGTAGACGGGCGGCCCTGCGCGTCGATCTCGAGGCGGCGCCGCGCGTTAAGATCGAGCGGTTCCTGCTGCTGCCGCGCTGAGGTAGAGGAGGGGGCGGTGGGGGAAAGTCCGGCGAATAACCGCGGCGCGGAGGAGAGAACAGGCGCCATGGGGAACAGGGGTCGATATTATAACTTCAGCAAGGTCCACAGGATAAAGGAAGCGCCTCTTAGGATCCGAATAGCGAAAAGGCTAATCTCCTTGACAAGAATTCGAGGCTGACATCGGGGCCGAGTGGAGCGCCGCGTGTCACGGCGGAACGTTTGGATGTTCAAAGGGGCTCAATCCCAGCATGTGCAGAAGTCAGCGAGCGTATCTTGCCGTGCGTCGTGGAATCCCACCCTCAACCTTAGCCTTGCGGCGGAATTCCACAATCGAGGTTAAAAACCTAAGTTCTGCGAGCAATGAACTGGCTACTGTGGTAGTGAGCATGCGAATCTGGCGGAAGGGGATGGGTGAAACTGATGAAGGTTCGTTTCTGGCTTCGGTCAAGGTCTACGCGTCAAGAGATAAGAGCGGGTGAGCCAACATTAGTGTCTATCACAGGTGGCTTCTTTCCTCCCCTGGACCGCGAAAGATTAGCCAACAGCAAAGTTCGCGCAACAGATGGCGCCACGGTGCTTGCTTGGGATCAGCTGGGGTGGCTACTCTAGGGTGGGAGCTTTTCCCCCTTCCTTTGCCTTCATGGCCTCTCAAGGACGGAAGGAGGACGACGGACGGAAGTCTTGGTTTTCGTGGGACGCTGGAGCTGTCGTGGTGTGGGAGCGATGGACGGCGAACTGGATTCAGGATTCTTCTGCTACGCTGGGCACCGTCGCACGCACCAGCTGCTGAGGTGGTGCTGGGAGAGTCGGCGACGAAACGACACGACGAAGTGAGTAGGACTGGGTGGGAGAATCATGCCGTTGGCAAGATCACCCCGCCTCATCGCCAACGCTACACAAGCGAATTGCACCATCCAAATGCTTCCATCTCATCCCTCTCACTCGTCATGCGATTCCAGAATTGTTTGTTTTTATTGCAGACGGTCTCAAGAACTTTCAGCCGTCACACCCTGAAGAAGTATTTGTTATCCCAGTCTCAATACCGAGTCCTGGTCCTCCTCATTGCATTGGTCTGCCACCCTCCCTCCTAAAATTTCAAGTCTCGGTGCAAAGCGAGCAGGTTTTAGTTGAAAGGCATCAGAGACTGTTGTGAAGGGAGGGTGGAGGAGCCTGGCCTGTCATGCCGACACGAATGCCGTTTCTTCCAATCCCGAAGACCCTCCTGAATCCTGATGCCTTGTTTGGATGCACGGTTACCACTTTCTTCAGGTGATGCCATAGGAGCCGTTTTCTGTTTTTTACAACGCTATAAGGACAATTTGTAAAAAACTTTCGAACAGAATAGTGAACTTGCTTGCTTATTCGAAGGAGCCTTGGAGGTTGACCTGTCCAGTGCCAGGCTCTTGTAAAAGGGCTGGGATTGGCAAATGTAGAGACAGAGATCGTATAACCCAGAAACGTAAGACACACTTCAACTTTGACCTCCAACGGAGCCAAATCTTCTATGAGGTGATCCGTTGGGTACACCTCCTTTTACAACATTCTAACCTTGCGCGAGTAGTCAATCCAGTACTTGTCTCTTGCGATCTGGTGCCATTGAACGTTCCTAGCAACCTAGGGGGAAAAGTTGAATCATGTGACTAACTGGCTCAAGGACGTAAAAATTCCGTAATCGCTGTATACCCTTCCCAAACAAATGAAAACGCTGACAGCGCTGTTTGTAAAGTGCATCACCTCACCTAAACGTATTCTTCGCATTGTGCTTGTACAGAATGACAAGATCGTTCTGAACGTGGTGACGTTCTACAGCCCGTATATGTCATGCAACCAGGTGCTTTACTATCGCAAAAAAAGGTGTACAGATGTTCTCGTTTATAGTCCGATGGATCAACATCGCCGCGCGCTGACTATGTGGCAAACCATTCAAACCCCAGGCAAAACGCGATACTTATAGTCCCTTTCAGGAAAAGTGCATGAAGAGTGGTTGTTTTGCTACTAGTTTATGGACTTAGGCATTTACGTTGATTTGGACCGCGCTTGCTTCAACTTCCAGTCGCACGGTTCTCCACGCTGATCAATGTTGCATGACTAACGGTCAAAACAAAACAAAAACAAATATGGTTTGAGGGTCGAATAGAAAACCAAAAACTTCGTTTCTACCCTGTAAGCGAGATAAATGAGATGTCATCGTCGATCACACTGGAGACAGCACGACAGGATTGAGAATTAATTGCGGTCAAGAGAAACAATTATTTACAATTAAAAAAATAAAATATCGAATCGATTATCTTTCTTCATCGTTTTCTTTGAATGTTGGGATGATTTGATCTGGAGCCTCTGATTGGCTGCGGAGCTGATACGTGAAATGATTCGGTCGAGCTACAATATTTCCCGTCAAAAACGGGACTATAGGGGTCGGGCCAACCCTAGGCGATATCGGAAAATTCTACTCAGGGGGGAAAGGGACTCTCTCAACGATGGCCTCTAAAGCAGGAACATCTTGTATGCGGGTGGGTGGTGACGAAGTCAAGAGGATGGGAACATTTGTGGAATGTCCAAGTCCACCGATTGTATCGCGAACCTCCCTGTCGTTTTCTGCCAGACTCCCACATGCCCGAGTGTACAACTGAAACAATAGTCTTCAATAAAATGGAATAGTTAGGGAGAGACTTGCGAGTGTAAGGAAAGCACATAACGAAACGCTTGGGAAGAGTCTTGTTCGCTGACCGTCGACTGCCAAGTCATGTCGGTCGCAACACGCCAACAGCGTTCTACCGCACTGTGCAACGGGCAGTAACAGACGTTCATGGTCCCTGTCTTGTGCTGTGCGAGTCAACCTGGCTTGGGAAACTGGAATGGGTGCAAATTTGACATATCATTGTCATCAATGTACTTATACAGCTTATTCTGTGCGGGTAGGAATGTTCCGCCATGGTGCAAAACGGTGAAGACTGAAAACCGCTGGGCGCAGCGCCTGATATTCCTTCCCACCACTACGGATGAACTGCAAACGAAGGGTGCATGTACGCGCTCGACCTGTCCCGATAGTCCAGATTGATTAAGTACGGTACATATTTCTCTATGTTAAGGGTGCAATGAATTTAAGTAGCTAGAATTGCACTAAGGTGTCAGACGAGTATAGAATGTGAGCGAAGGCATGAGCGAACATTTATGCGCGAAACATACAAACGGTAACGCGGTGTGTGCGAGCTAGCTAGTGCTACGCTGGAACCGAGGCTCGGGCTAGTCCCGAAGCGTATGCCGACACGGCCAGGCCAGCAACGCGAAGTTTGGTGAAACAGTGCGCGCGAAGTCGGCGAAGCCCCGTTAGCAGTAACGGGCGAACAACGCCTGCTGCTATACGCGATGTTGCAGGGTGCGCTAAGGAATATCGAGAAAATTCCTCACACTACCCCCCCCCCCCCCCCCCCCCCCCCCCCCCCCCTCAAGAAGCCCCCTCCGCTACGCTAGTGCGTGTATATCGCGGAATCCCCGGCTCCTCAGGTACACTTGCAGGGCAGGGTGGTTTTCGATGTTGGCCAGGGGCACCCAGCTATCCTCAGTTGGCGTGCGATCCTTCCAGAGAACGAGGAATTCAATCCTCCTGATTCCCGTGGGGTGTCGATTCCGATGGCTCAGGATTTTTTCGAGCTCGATGATCGGCTCCGATGCAGGGCGAGTCATGGATGGCGGGTGGTGGCGAGGCAGTTGGCTTGTGGTTGGGATGTATGAGCGAAGCAAGCTGACGTGGAACGAAAGGCTTATGTACCAGTCTGTCGGCAACAGTAGGTGAGCTGTGACTGGGGTAATCATGTGGCTGATTTGGAATGGTCCACAGTAGCGGGGTCGTAATTTCGGTACGACGTGCAGTCTTAAGTTTTGCGTGTCGAACAGTACATAATCTCCTGACTGGTACGTGACCGGGCAGCGGTGGCGGTCAGCGTTGCGCTTAGCGATGACGTTGGCTTTTTTAATTGCTTCTGCTGCTGTGGTGCGAGCAGCTTGCAGAATTTCGGCGAATTGCTGTGCACGTGGCGTTGGGTTGTCCGGACTCGGCGTCATGGGCACTGTAGGGTTTTGCCCGTAGTTCAGATAGAAGGGGGACTGCTGCGTCGTCGCTGACATGGCGTTGTTGTACGCGAACTAGATCAGCGGCAGCTGCTGCTCCCAAGTTGTCGGGTCGTCGCACGTGGCACGAATCAACTGCTCCATCGTCTGCTTCATCCGCTCCGTTTGACTGTCGGTCTCAGGGTGGTACGACGAGCTGAACTATAGCCTTGTCCCGAACTGCTCCCAGAGGTTCTTCCAGAAGTTGCTGGTGAACTTCGTGTCGCGGTCGCTGATTATCGCAGCTGGTATCCCGTGCAGTCGAACGACGGCTGCGATGAACAGGCGAGCGGTTTCTTCGGCTGAGGTCGATTTCTTCCACGCAGCGAAGTGTGCCATCTTCGTCAACATGTCAACGACGACCATAACCGCGTCGTTACCCCCGGGGTTCGAAGGTAACCCTTTGACGAAATCCATGGTAACCTGCTGTCAAGCGCGCTCAGGCGGTGGAATCGGCTGCAACTGACCCGCCTTTCTTTTTCGCGAGCTCTTCATCACATGACACGTAGGACACGATCCCACGTGGTGTTGTACGTCGGTCAACAGCTCCGGCCAGTAGTAATACCGCTGCAGTTGCTGTCGCATTTTTTCTACCCCGAAATGTCCCGAGATAAATCGCATCGTGTGCCTCCTTCAGTAACAGTTCCCTCTCTAGTGAATACGCGGGTACCCAGATGCGGTTGATGCCTGTTTTTACGTAATGGACTCCTCTGACCTCTGCCAGTTGTTGTGAATTTCCGGTCGCGAAAAATGGGTCGGTACTGTATCTGTGGGTGAATAGGCCTGTTAGCAGTGGGTTGGTTTGGGCGAGTAGGATGGCGTGGAGCTGGGCGGTGGGGCGTGTGAGTGCGTCGGCGATGTTGGATGCGCCTTTTTTGTACGTGACCGTGTAGTGGAAATTGGACTCCAGATAATCCAACCAGCGGATCTGTCGTGGGTTGAGATTCGATTGGGCGCGG